TTCCTTCCTTCCTTTGGCTTATGGAAAATATTTTCTTCCTTCCTTCCTTCCTTCCTTCCTTCCTTCCTTCCTTTAATTTTTTTTTATAAAAGGAAGCCTTCCTTCCTTCCTTCCTTCCTTCCTTCCTTCCTTCTATGTATTTCTTTGCAGTCTTCCCTTCCTTCCTTCCTTCCTTCCTTCCTTCCTTCCTTCTCTGTACCTGCTTCGCAAAGGTCCTTCCTTCCTTCCTTCCTTCCTTCCTTCCTTCCTTTGGTTGCCAGCATAAGGGAGATGCCTTCCTTCCTTCCTTCCTTCCTTCCTTCCTTCCTTAGAGAACTTGTAGCACTTTTATACCTTCCTTCCTTCCTTCCTTCCTTCCTTCCTTCCTTGTTCTCAGATGTGCGTCTCATAGCCTTCCTTCCTTCCTTCCTTCCTTCCTTCCTTCCTTGGTTATCTTGTCCAGGCCAGCTATCTTGGCGTAAATATTATTTACATTATTCCTGAAAAATGGTCACATCTTGCTATTCTTTCCTTCCTTCCTTCCTTCCTTCCTTCCTTCCTTCCTTCTCTAGACTGATTTCTTTATAGTCCTTCCTTCCTTCCTTCCTTCCTTCCTTCCTTCCTTCTCTGCTTATGCTTATTTTGTCTCCTTCCTTCCTTCCTTCCTTCCTTCCTTCCTTCCTTTTGAGACTTATACATCCTCTTTGCCTTCCTTCCTTCCTTCCTTCCTTCCTTCCTTCCTTTCACTCTCACTGTCTGTTCTGTGCCTTCCTTCCTTCCTTCCTTCCTTCCTTCCTTCCTTAAGGATTGTATTTGCATTACCTCCTCCATTGTTCTTGCTGATTGATTGAGGGCTTACCTTCTAAGTCTTCTTACTTTAATAACCTTCCTTCCTTCCTTCCTTCCTTCCTTCCTTCCTTACTGGATCATGCTTCCAGTTACTCCTTCCTTCCTTCCTTCCTTCCTTCCTTCCTTCCTTAACTTTCTCAAGAGTTTAACTTTCCTTCCTTCCTTCCTTCCTTCCTTCCTTCCTTCCTTTGAGACGGAGTCTTGCTCTGTCCCCTTCCTTCCTTCCTTCCTTCCTTCCTTCCTTCCTTTGCAAGCTCTGCCTTCTGGGTTTCCTTCCTTCCTTCCTTCCTTCCTTCCTTCCTTCCTTGACTACAGGCGCCCGCCACCTCGCCTTCCTTCCTTCCTTCCTTCCTTCCTTCCTTCCTTTTTCACCGTGTTAGCCAGGATGGCCTTCCTTCCTTCCTTCCTTCCTTCCTTCCTTCCTTCCTCCCAAAGTGCTGGGATTACAGGCGTGAGCCACCGCGCCCGGCCTAAGAGTTTAACTTTGAACTGCATGACTGTGTTCTCCCTTCCTTCCTTCCTTCCTTCCTTCCTTCCTTCCTTAGTCAAGGTGGTGGTCTTTCTTACCTTCCTTCCTTCCTTCCTTCCTTCCTTCCTTCCTTGCTAAAGAATATGGCTTTGGTTTCCTTCCTTCCTTCCTTCCTTCCTTCCTTCCTTCCTTTTAACAGAGTAGGCCTTCTACTCCCTTCCTTCCTTCCTTCCTTCCTTCCTTCCTTCCTTTGCAGAGCAGATGTAGGTTTTAATAAATGATTATACACTTTGTCACCAGGAGAGAGTTGGAATCGCAGGCAATGTAGTTTGACCTTCCTTCCTTCCTTCCTTCCTTCCTTCCTTCCTTAATTGTTTTGTGATGGACCCTTTCCTTCCTTCCTTCCTTCCTTCCTTCCTTCCTTCCTTGTCTGGCTTGGGTTTATAACAAACCTTCCTTCCTTCCTTCCTTCCTTCCTTCCTTCCTTTGGTTTTTTATCAGGAGTTAGTTCCTTCCTTCCTTCCTTCCTTCCTTCCTTCCTTCCTTGGTTCTTGGTTGATGTGAGGATTTTTGTTTTTAAGCACTCTTGCATACTTGATCATACTAATGATAAAGCCCTGTGAAGCATCCTTCCTTCCTTCCTTCCTTCCTTCCTTCCTTCCTTTTCCTACGTCAGGCAGAGATTGCCCTTCCTTCCTTCCTTCCTTCCTTCCTTCCTTCCTTTGAAGGAAGCCATTTATAATTAACCTTCCTTCCTTCCTTCCTTCCTTCCTTCCTTCCTTGATTTTTGCTGTAGGGCAGTTTGCCTTCCTTCCTTCCTTCCTTCCTTCCTTCCTTCCTTTCTTGAGATAAAGAGGAAATTTACCTTCCTTCCTTCCTTCCTTCCTTCCTTCCTTCCTTAGAATCTCTGTGTCTTCTCTTGTCCTTCCTTCCTTCCTTCCTTCCTTCCTTCCTTCCTTGGAGTCTATAAAACACCTTTGACATCCTTACGTTGGAGTGGAGTTTTTGTCTTCTGTGATATTCACAGACAGTTCTTACCCTTCGACCTTCCTTTGTGAAAAACTCCAAAAGGGAATTTGTTTTCATTCAGTGATTTCACTGGAACTGAAGTTTCAGTAAGCGTATTTATTTTCCATATTTCTGGCCTACAGTTTTCAGTACTGATTCCTTGCTTTCCTGTTGTGCTTTTGTGGCATTAGGCAG